TGTTGTTGATTTCTGGATTGTGTTTTTGGACTGTTTGCCTTGTTCTGTGTGAGGTTCTGGCAGTTTTTACACTGCCTGTCTCTGTTTATGATTCTTCGAATTCCTCAGTAAACCTGAACTTGATTTTGACTCCTCTCTGGGAGGTTCATCGCTACACGTTAACAACGAATGTTTGTTCAGTGTGTAGTGTGTCCACCCTTTGCCTTGATTAAAGCATGCATTCTTTTTGGGAGACTTGTTTTCAGGTTTTCAAAGAAATCTGTCAGATGTTTTTTCTAAATTGGTTGCATTTTCTTCTCACAATCCCAGTAAATTCACATTCAGTGATGTTGAGGATTGGACTCTGGGGTCGACGCAGCATTGTTCTGAAAACGTGAGCAGCTTCTCCGTTTGATTTGCAAATTTTCTTCTTTTTTGTCTCTCTCCTTTTCTCAGTAACGACCTCTTGACAGCTAAACATCCTTTCAGACCCATCGCGCTGAGTCGTCTTCTCACAGTGGAAGGATGGACAGAAAAACCTGTGGATGTTTTCAGATCTGAAGCAGCTTGATTTTCTCCTCTCTCTCTCAAAGATGAAAGCTTTAAGTGCTGTTTATCTGATGGGGACAGTTTTGGTGGTCCACCAGGTCTTGCGTGGTTTTTAAGAGTCCCATTTTTTTCTATATCTTTTAATCATTTTTTGAACTTCAGTTTTGGAAACTCATGTTTTCATTTATTTTCCTTTGACTTATGCAAGTAGAGTATCTCATATCTTATGTTCTCAGACATATATCTTGAAAAATGACTTCTACTTTGACTGGAAATTCAAAAAATGTAGGTTGGTCTCTGATGTTTGCACAGTATTGTGTATCAACCTAAACCATTCTCATAGCAGGATTTCTATCCATGTGTTCTCATAATACCACAGTAGTACACAATAGATGTAAACCGCTATTGTAATGAATATTTTACCAGCTTACACTGTTCAGACTCACTGAGGGAGCCAGCTGCAGGGAGTCAGCACAATGGAATCAGCACATGAAAGGAATCGACTTATAAGACATTCAGTCCTGTGTTTTCGAGGACATTCATACAAATACGCTTTGCTTCATCTCCAAGGTAATTTTGTGTGAATTAAATTTCTCAAAGTTGAAAAGAAAACGCACCGAGGACAAAAGCCATGTCACTCAGTAAAACAAAAGTTTTCTCATTAAAAACTAAGTTTATGCTGGCTTGACTGGGCAAGAATTCTCTGCTCTGTTGTTTTACACTGAGCATGAGTTTATATGAATACAAAGTGGGCCTCAGACATCACACCACGCACAGGCTGCGTCTCGCTGCTTTTTTAAGGCCTAGCCTGAAGGGCTGATCCTAATTGCCACAGCTTCATTTTCCATATTCTGTTTGAAGTTGCGCTGCATTGAGAACGAGCACAGGAATTAACAGTCTCCCCTTCCGCTCGGGTAACCAACACTTCACAACCGTGGCAGTCCCAGCTGGGTGACAGAGGAGTGATACAAGGCTGAGTTCCTCTTATGTACAGCATGTCTCTCGACTATAGCGTGTGCCAGATTTAAAGCGATAGTTAATTTACTCAGATTGCGCCCAAATACAGGCAAGCCAAGACACGCTTGGTGTGCGAAGTTTGCTTATTTAGTTTTTATGACATTCCATAAATCATATCTATAAAAATGGACATTAAGCTAAAAACAGCAGTAGAATCAATCTTGATGCTAAGATTTTGTCCATTTCCATAGATAACTATGTCATACAGTGTCAGAAACCACATGTGGACACATAAGTGAAACACAAGTGTATTTGAGACAACTAAAAGGGAAATCCCACTGATTTTTTAAAATTTAAACTAAATGGTTATAATGTAACCAGAGTCATTCAGAGTGCTTTGATGTGAAGTGCATTACTCTAAAGAAACTTGCTCATAGCAGTGATTATAGGAACCAGACATCTGAAGTATTTAATGCCTCTAAAAGCTGCATAAAGCTCCTACATAAAATAGTTACTAATGTCTAAGGCATTGTGTTACTATGTCTTTGAGATAAGCTTTTGGCTGAAAATGTTTTTTTTTTCTATTCATGGTGAAGAGGTGCATGAAGGGCATTGTAGAGCAAAATAATACTTTTTTTTCAGATTTAGCATTATTTTACTATTATCAATATTACATGTACAAACTCAGAAGACACATGTAAGTTCTCTGGTATATTTCACTGGTATATTTAGTATCACTATTTTACTAAATAAAGTGGTTCAATTTGCACTGTAGACATTGCGACCCCTGGTTCCTATCAGCACCACTGTAAAGCAATCTCTCTGAGTCAATAAATGTCTCTACAATCACAATTTTACCTCAGACTACTGTGAATGACTTTGTTTATATCTCAGTGATTGGATTAAGCAAAATCTATGGACTTCCCCTTTGACAATTGGATGCGGTTTAAAGAAAGCATGTTGATTTAGAAATGACAATGAAGTTTCCCTTTAAAACTGGCCTCATAAACATGCAGTTCACAAAAACTGAACTTGTGATAGCTTATAATCCAGTCAAAACAGGATATGTAACGTGGTTTGCTGTGTTAATATCCAGAACTGCCAGTAACTGAACTCTCAGCACAGAGTTCGGATGTTTCTCACCAGAAATGTACACCCGAAAATCTCTACATCTGACCAGACACTGTGACATTTACCCATGTTTAAATATCACAGCGCCTTTAAGCAGTCATTCGCTTTTTGGAGTGTCATTAAGACCAAGTTTTAAACCTTTCAAAAATCCTGCACTTTTACAGTTCTGTCTTCCTGAGAGAAACAAAGGAGACAACATGAGAGAGACAATTTAAATGGGTTTTAAATTTTGCCTAAAGGACAAGTATCACATTTTGGCATAAAAAACATCACATTCCACTTGTGCCAGTGCAATAAATCTGTTAAGACGCTCAGGAGTGAACAGAGAGAAACTTAGCAAAGCAGAGTTTCACCCTCGGCATTTACAGTACAATGACAGCCAAGAGAAATGACTGTCCATTCCAAAACACAAGCTCAAACAAGGCATAAATCTGTCCTTGTGCAAATGTAATGTTTTCTTTACTGTGCTGAGAAATGCCTTTGAATACTGTTATACGGAAAGAGTGACATTCTCACTCTTTATTTTTTAGGATTGTGTGGCTGTCTTGCTGACAATATACAAATATAGCAGTCTTAGTCCAGTTTTTCTTTGAAGTAGCTCAGCAATGGAGCTAGGATCTTACTGGCCCTAGTGTAAAAAAAAAAACAAACTTAATTTACCCTTGTGTGGTGTTGGTGTGTTTATTACTCAGTGGTCTGGTGGACTCATTGCATTATTGTATCAATACAGCCACAAAAATTTATGTAAAAATACTAGATGTTTAAAATATCACAATTGGCCAGCGTAGGGTTCTCCTTTAGCAGCTGTAGCCAGTCAGCAGCCTGTCCATGTTGTCCACCCTCACACATGCACACACACAGACACACACACACACACACACATCAGGCCATGTAGGAGAAGAACAGAGTGAAGGGACCCAGCACCTCCACACTTTTATTCCCCGTGAGTTCACCCCAACACCACATGTGCAATATAAATGTGTGGGGGGTGAACAGAGTGAAGACACTGAAAATGTGTTATTTTATATGTTCTTTACAGAAAATGAGCAAAGGACAAGGAATCTGAGACTGAATTAATAATAAATGACATCATTTTTTCATTTGGTTAACATTGACAATGTGTCCCACAGACCCCAACACCACACAAGGGTTAATTGCTCCCCCATATATAAAATCACTTTTGAAGAATAAAAAAATGACTATATAATTTGGTTGTTTGCTATTTTTATGTCTCAAACAAGCTCATGCTCTCAAAGCATAGAGTTCCACCCATTAAGAGCTAACACTCATCTAAATGCATACATTAGACTGTCTACTTAAGAGCTTTATAACTAATGAATATATCGTATTGCAGGTTGTGAAGGATCTGTTAGAAAACAGTGACCATGCATGAGATGCATTATGAATGAGAGGGACACACATAGACGTCAGGGCTGTTTGTGTGGTGTTGATGAAGATAACTGGTATGTTGTTGTAAAACTGGATATTTCTCTATGGGGTTAATGTTATGTTAGTATCCATATGAGGGGCACAATAAAGATTTTAGGGGGCTTGGTCGTTGTGTGCCCCGCTGCACCAAGGGCCCTTGTATGATTGCCCCCCCCAGTAGTTCAGCAGCAGCAAACTAACTAAACTTCATTAACTAAACATGAATTCTACCTGATGCTAATAGAAAATAGACAATCTGATTATACAAATTATTATTAACTATGATCAAATTACATATCATCAGGACAAAATTTGTTTCTCCATTTTTTGTAATTTTTCACTTTTTGATGTAATTGTTTGTAAAATGCCAGCTGCTCTTTACATTGTCAGACTTTAATGATGCATGGACCAACAGAAATGATCCAAAATTATGTGAAATTAGTAATTGCTGCATTAACAGTCAATTAAAATTTAAAGGCCCTATGCCTTGCATTTTTCCCCCATTAGTCCACTTATGACATGTGTGTGGTTTTATGTACCAAAAACAGTCATAATTCATTTCACATTACCGTTTTTCAAGCTATCTTTAATCCCTTAGAATTAAAGAAGCTGCTTTTGCTACTGCGCCTTTAAAACTAATATGTGTGTCTCATTCAAAAAAGGGCGTGGCGAAAATGCTATAGGCTGAAAAGCTATATATTTGCAAATGTGCTGGTTTTTGTGACATCACAAAAACAGTGACTTCAAAACAGGCTATTTTTGAAGCTTATTTGACCTATATAGACTTGAAACAATGTGTTACATGTTGCAAGTAAATATACAAATGCACGCTGTTCCATTGGGTGCCATTACAAACTGTATCTATAATAAAAATCTGCACAGGTCATGTGTTTGAACACATCAACAAAGAAATGGAACATTATTTGGCAGAAGGTCAATGCTGTCCTTTAACTCACCTGGGCTTGTCCAGCTCCCTGCCAGCAGGTGGGATTATGGGTAACAGGGTCTTCTTAAAGGACATAACAGGGTGGCTAAAGTCATGATTGGAGGGTCGTGATCCCACAGCATGCAAACCTCTCCGCCGGTTTCCTAAGGCCAGATGAATAAAAACACACCTCAGTGTAAGTGGCCTAACAGTGCTCCACCCACAACTTGTCAAAAGTCCTACATGTAGCGTGAATTTGAATTTCCCAATTCTGGGTGCTGACCAGATATTATGTGGACAATGGGCCTTTCTCAGCCCAGCAGTGACACCAATATAATAGTGGCATGTTAGTGGGTGTTGTACTGGTATGTGTATTGGTACTTAAGAAAATTGGCTGATGAGTGTAGGTAGAAGGTTTGTACCTCAGAAACTGGTAATTCAGTGAACCTCAAATGTATTATCATTATTGTTTATTTTATTGTTGTTGCTATAAAGATTAGAAAGGTTATAAAGATTGTTATAAAGACATCACCCATGCACATGCACGCACCTGTTTTGATGGCGATGAGGTGGCGGGATAGTGTGCGCTGTTCTCGGCTCAGAGTGTTGAGCTGATAGTGTTTGGCCTCGTCTAGCCTCTGTAGCCCATCAGCCAGCCGTGCCTCAGCCCTCCTCTCCTCTCTCCTCTGAGCCTCCTTCGGCCACAACATCCAGTCTGCACGATGCATGCTTCACACACACACACACACACACACACACACACACACACACACACACACACACACATTCATTCTTATTCTGAGTCACACTCAGCACATCTGTCCCACTACCCACCAGAATATGATTATTTAGCCCCTCTCTTTCATTCAGCTCCCCAACAACTGGGTCAAACTGAAACTCTAATACTGAGTATTATATCATAGTTTGTATCACAAGGTTGTGATTAAAGGCATACTGAAGACAGCTTTAATGTAAATACTGCTGAGCACAGTGTAAAGCCCATTGCACACTATTTGTAAGTTTTCATGCCAGGCTAGTACAAATTTAGCCTTCATACAGCTCTTTGTTGGTAATTATATAATGCATTTAATGAAAAAAAAGAAAGTGTGGTCCTATTAGGTTGCAGTGTAGTCTGCATGGAATTGTTTTTCAATTCTTTTGTTTTTTTTGCCATATTTAATCTTAAAAAAAATGATAAAAGGGTCACTACGTCAGTGTGAAACTTTAAGTCACTGTACTGGTTTTCAATCATAACATAATTCGTCTCCATGCTAAGATACATACAAAAGCATCTTTTTATTAGGAATCAGGATTTCCTGCATTACTGATATGCACACTTCAAAATTAGCTTGCATTTCTTTATTAAATACTTATATTAAATACTTCTGGAAAAGTTTTAAATCCAATCAAGCATAAGACAGTCTAACACACGCTAACAACATGTGAGCTAAGGTGACCTTGGCGGAAGGACATTGATCACATGTTTTGTCCAACCCTGAACTGAATCAGGACAAGTTAAGCACAAGAGATTTTCCCACTATTTATACTATTATAGCTAAAGCATTATCATCTGTTTTCCAAGCTGATGCACCCATTTGGCTGTAATCTTATCCAGTGTCATATTTTTAATGAATATAATATGAGAATATCATAAATATTTAATATCAGGCCCTTAGACTAAGTTTCATAATGACATCTAGCCTATTTCTTACTGTAGTGGCAACGTAGAGAAAAAGTTAGGCTTTCAGCGGTAATGAAATGACAAATGTAGGAGTAGTAGAATATATTAGCACTTAGGAGCTTAAATACAGTAGAGAGATCATTAATACTAGCAAGTGGCATCTTTAGTGTCTTTATTATTGAAAAGAGTAAAGACTCTTCTGAGTACTTCTACTGTGAAACCATCAGGGATGTTCTTTAAAGAAATGGTGTTTAGGCTTTAAAGATCGTGTGATTTAGATAGTTGAAGTCTGTTTGCAAAGCTCTTATTGTATGTTCTGCTTATGTGATGTAGGGTAGGGTCAATGTTGAGAGCTTTAGAAGCAAAACAAAATATGTTAAAAGTCAAGACTAAGACTTTTGAATTTGTTTACAATTCATTTTGCATTCATCGTACGTGGTAGATACCAATGAATAATATCAGTTCAATATCAACATCAATTTTTATCTAACCCTGTACACAGGAAGCAAATGTATGTGGACACTATTTCAGCCACAAAATTGAAAAATTGAACAGTAGAACAGGTCATACTAAAGAGCTTAGTGACTTCCAACATGGTGTGGTCATAGGACAAGTCAGTTTATCAAACATCTTCCATGCTAGATCTGCCCAGTCAACTGTAAATACTGTTCATTGTGAACTGGAAACATCTACACTCTCAAAAATAAAGGTATAAAACTCACTGGGGCAGTACCCTCTTGTCACTGGGGTCCACTCTCAGTACCTTTAGTCAGGGAGCATAATTGTGCCAAAATCCATTGAAACTATATTTTCTAAGTTGTACTGACTCCACAGACCCCGTCTCGTCTCCAGGCTTTTATTTTATTTTTCTGTTTTAAAACATTAGGTTATGAAAATGTGCAAATATGTACTTTTCACCTGGGAAAAACTTAAAACCACTGTTGTACTTTTGAGGGTACATTTACATTATTGTACCTTGATTCATGAAAAATGTACCTGCACAGAACCTTTACTTCTGACAACGCAGGAGTGACAACACCTCAGCTGTGAAGTGGTGGGCTGTCTGGTTTTGGATGCAATACTCACTACCAAGTTCCAAACTGCCTTTGGAAGCAAAAAAGACCTGTTCATCTGGAGGTTCATGGTTTGGCTTTCCATGGTCAAGCAAATGTACACAAGCCTAAGCTTGGACTCTGAAGCAGTGAAAATATATTATCTGGGGTGACACATCATGCTTCACTATCTGACAGACTCGCAAATCTGAGTGTGGCGAATGCAAGAGAACGTTGTTTACTGGAATGCAGTATGCTAACTGTAAAGTTTGGGTGAGGAGGAATGATGGTCTTGGGCTTTTCAGTTCCAATGAAGAACTTTGTGCTTCAAGTATTGTGGCAGCAGTTCGGGGAAGACCATTTGGTGTATTAGCATGACATGTATTATGCATGAACAAAGCAAGGTCCAGAAATGATTTACTGTGTCTGGTGTGGAAGAGCTTGGCTGGCCTTTACAGAGCCCTGATCATGAACCCAACTATAAATGGGAACACAAATGCAGGCCAGGCCTAATTACCCAACATTAATGCTTAACCTCAACAAAGTCTCAAAGCTGAATGGAATCAAATCCCTGCAGCCACTTTCCCAAATCTAGTGGAAAGTCATCTATTTGTGGACTGGACTCGAGTACTACAACACTAGGGTTTTGGGCAGTGAGCCACAGGTTTTTGTTTTTTTGTAAAATGTCAAATATCACTTTCAAGCAAGTAGGAGAGTGACTTATGTGTTCTTCACATAAACGTTTTCACGTTTTCACAAAAAGTATTAGCGTTGGAGTTACAGCAAAATCATACCAGCCGAGCCCCACTCTCATCCGCAACCTCTATCATGCTAAGGTGATGTGGAGAGAGAGAGAAAGAGAGAGAGAGAGAGACAGAGAGAGAGCAGGAAATACAGCAGTTGATGGAGTGCTCTGTCGATGGCCTCCATCAGTCACACTTGAGCAAGGAGGCTGCGCTCTGCCTGTTTGGGCCTTTGAGGATGAATAATGGGAACAAATAAAGCAAAGTGACAGCCCTCCGATAAGCTCTAAATCTCCCTGTTGCATCAGCCTTATTAGCTTGTAATCCATTAAAAATAAACCGAGTGTGCACAGTCCTTAATGGGATCATTAGGGGTCATGTGTTGCCGGAACAGACAGAATGGTCATAATTCTCTCTCCTCTTTTTGGTGATAGTTCTTACATTTCTATATATTATATTTGCCAAGCGTTTTTCCTTTTGTGCCAAGCAGTTAGTCCAATGGAGAGTTTCAATAAAGCTTTCCAGGGCAAAGTCTGAAAAATTAGCATATTGAATATAAAGCCCTGTAGGCTTGTCATATGGGTAAACAATATGATTAAGCGTAGCAGCCTTTCTAAAATTGAATATTAAATGAATGGGGTAATGTCTTAAAATATTCCACAGTGACCTTCCTCCCTTCATCAGACTCTTTTCATTTTTCTTTTCAAATGGTTTTACGCCTGAGGATGCAATAAATTGATTGTAAATGGCAGAGAAAATTATGCTAATGGTGACGAGACAGCCTTCGCTGAAGTGTCTGTGTGTGAAAAAATGAGCCTTTTTCATTCCTGTGTTTTTAGTGTGTGCACGTGCACGTGAGCAGGCCTACTAGCATGCTAGCTTTTGTTGATAGAAACAGGATGAGCAGGAACATGAGTCAGCTTGTAGCTTCTGTAACCTTTCTAACCTCTTTTGTCTTCCTCTGATTAGAGCAGTGAACTCTTCTGCTTCTTCCTCCCCATATTGATTCTTTTTGTTTCCTTTTGTGATGTGTTACTATGCCGACTAAGCTCATTTGGTTAATATTTACCGGTCACCTACACGTTTTTAATCTGCATGGTAAAAGCATTTTGGATAGCTTATGCTTTGGTTAGCTAATACAGAAATGATGTCACTTTTGTGACACTTTCCAATGAATGAAGTTGGAACGCTGTGCAAAATGTAAATAAAAAAAGAAAATGCAATGATGTGCAAATCATGTAAACCCTATATGTAATTGAAAATAGTACAAAAGCAACATATCAAATGTTGAAGCTGAGAAATTTTGAGTTTGATGCCAACAACACGTTCCAAAAAAGTTGGGACGGGGAATTTTTACCTCTGTGTTTCATCACCTTTTCTTTTAACAACACTCTGTAAGCGTTTGAGAACTGAGGAGACCGATTGCTGAAGTTCTGAAAGTGAAATGTTTTCCCTTTCTTGTTTGATACAGGATTTCAGCTGCTCAACAGTTCAGGGTCTCCTTTGTTGTATTTTTCATTTCATAATGGGGCAAATATTTTCAGTGGTGGTCTGGACTGCAGGCAGGCCAGTTTAGCACCCGGACTCTTTTAATACGGAACAAAGCTGTTGTAATACATGCAGAATGTGGTTTGACACTGTCTTGCTGAAATAAACGAGGCCTTCCCTGAAAATGACGTAGTCTGGATGGCAGCATATGTTGCCAAAACCCGTATATATCGTTCAGCATTAATCGTGCCTTCATAGATGTGCCAGTCACCCATACCATGTGCACTAATGCACCCCTATACCATCATGAATACTGGCATTAGAACTGTGTACTGATAACAAGCTGAGTGGTCTTTAGCCTGCTTTGCATTTTAGAGTGTTAACTTGCATTTGTGGAGGCAGTGACGTACTGTTTTCACAGACAGTGGTTTTCAGAAGTGTTTCTGAGCTCATGCAGTGATTTCCACTACAGAATCATGTCTGTTTTTGCAGATCACAACCAGCAAATACTGTCATTTGGCCTTGTCCCTTGCATACAGAGATTCCTCCAGATTCTCTGAATCTTTTAATGTTATTATGTACCATAGATGATGAAAAGCAAAAGTTCTTTGCTATTTTATGTTGAGAAACTTTACCAGCCTTTTGTTGCCCCCATCCCATCTTTAAAATGTGAAAAAACAATAAAATTTCTTCGTGTCAACATTTGATATGTTGTCTTTGTTTTATTGTTATTTACATATGATTTGCACGTCATTGCATTTTGTTTTTATTTACGTTTTGCACAGCGTCCCAAAATGTTTGGAAATGGGGTTGTGCAGAAATACAGAAAGGTTTGTTTTTAGCAAAATTAGGATAACAGCTGCTATTTTTCCTGGTATTACAGCATGTTTTATTGGAAAGAACTTTCCATGCTGGAAGCTACTGAGGCTATTTATAGTGGGGTGTAATATAAGCCTCAGGCCCCCCGTAGACGTCTAGACATGATTATTCTTCTTCATTTTCAGACATTCTCAGACCTATCTTGCACTATTAGGAGTGGACTGAGATGGCAGTTTGGGTCCATATATCTGTGAAATCTGCCTACAGAATGAGCAGAGAATTGTCTTGCTCACTGACCTTTCAAAGATTGATATTTTTATTATAGCAGCGGCATTCATCTATCCATCTATCCATCCATCCATCCACAACCATGAATCACGTACCTCCATGAGTCCTTAGCACGTCTTCTCATGCACTACATAGTCATGGGCAGATGCACCTCTTGTAGGTAAATAATTCATTTTTTGAAAAGCTACAATTAATTGAAGCATAAAATTGTAGTCATTAACATACAGCAAGGATGGGAAATACTTAAGTCAGGTGGTGTCAAACTCAACCACTAAAAGGGCCATATTAACACCTCAACAAATCTGTGGGCCAACTGTGTTTTTATTTACTTTTACTTAACATTTGCCACGACCCCAACTGGTCATTGTTCGTTCAAAATATGTGAAAACTACAATGGCAAAAAATGGGCACTGAACACTTAAATGATCCACAAATAATTTTAAATAAAAACAATTTGTTTTCTATAAAACAACAGACTACATATGCTGCAGATAACTGTTAAACTATGTTTGTTTTGTTTTTGTGGAACTGTCCCATAGATCCTTGTGGGGAGGGGGTGAGAGCACACATTATGTTGCAGTGCCTGCTGGGAACTGTAGTGCAGCTCATGGTGTAAAGGGCTAATATTAATAGAAAATTAAAATAATTTTGCGAGTCGAATAGGATTGTGCTAGACTTGGCCCGCGGGCCTTGCGTTTAATACATGGGACTTAAATGATTGTACATCACTGCTGTACTATTAGGATTTAATATTTTTTTCATAGGAGTTTAATATGCAATTTTTGTTTTATGTAGCATTCTGTAGTGCAGCACTGTATCTCCCACCCCCATTAGCTTAACAGAATTTATATTATATCAGTTTCTTGTTTTATTCATCAGTGTTTTTTCACAACAGTGCATTACACTCATACAGCTAGCTGGCTAGCTAGCTGCTGTCAAACAACATCGTAAAGAAAACAGCAATTATGTCTTTATTCAGCAGGAAAGGAGGCATCAAAGACAAGTTTTTACCATTTCAACTAGATAAAAGCAGCCAGACTGACTGAAGGTATTAAGATAGCTATGGCGGTTACTTTGCTAACTTAAGCTTTTAGCTTGTTGTTCTACTCATTTGACTAGTCATTTCATTTATTTGAGTGATCCATTCTCTACATAGTCCATAGAAGTTGTGTCCTCATGCCCATATTAGGAACTCTGGGTCTAAGCTGTATTTCTCTATGACAAGAATGAATATGAATTTGAAAAATGTCTACTATTGCTCTCTGTGGTAAACAAAAATGTTTCAAACCAGGTAAGTTTTGTACTACGTACATTCTTCCTTTGAATTTGACTGCATCCTCTAAATTACAGGGTCATTTAGAAGTTGAAATATGAATTTGGCTACGTACAAGCTAACGCTGCTGCACACTAAAAAGCAAGCTTTATCAACCCCTTAAAGTCCCAGACTTATTACATACTAAGTCTTATTATTCAGTAACTACAGGGACTTCAATGCAAACTGGTTGAGCTATTCTTAGGTTATAGAAGTGTGTAATTAAACTTTGGGCCTGCCGTTGGGCCCCGGTCATTTAAGGGGTTAAGTTGCTTTGGCAGTAGTAGAGTACATTTAGAGGAGCTAGTGATATTATAGGACTGTTTTTCTGTACATTTTCCACTTCTGGCATACAGTAAGTTATCAAAAGCTGAGAGAACTACAAAAAAGACACATTTTCTATCTATTAGGCCTGGGTAAAAAAAAAACACAGTTTGAAATCTACATTTTGTCATTAATTTATACATTTGTTATTTAAAATATGGACAGCAGGCCTTGCATTATGTTAGACAAGAGCCACAACAGCAAGCAAGCAGGTTTATGCACAAATGAGGACCAGCAGAGGAGAGGAAATCACATTCATTTCACCATCTTAATGGGTGATGATTATGACCATGCCGCACGATTTACTCATCTGATATCAGTTCATTTGCAAGTCATGAAGTATGTTTGCCTCTGGCTAAGGCATAATAATAATGACACATGATTTGCCTCTTGCACTTTTGTAGCAGAGAGCTTTATTAGAGCTTTATTTATAAACTACAGCCTCAAAATGCTGCACACACAACCACTTGGAGGGTCTTCTGCTTGAGCCTGAACACTAGAAACACACTTTAGAAGTGCCTTGAGTTCTTTTTAATCCCCGCACCACAGAAACATTTATGGTTTATTATCTTTTATGACAGTTTGGGGATTACTATTTTATTGTAGCATGAGCAGAGAAGATCCTTGAAGATGACTAAGGTGTTACTCCTTTAATAAACCCTTATTAGAACGTGTAATCTTATTACTATAAACTTAAGGCACCTAAAACGTAACTGAACTTTTATTATTACAATATACTGTATAATTGTTGTTATTGTTATGTTGGCACTGTTCCTTTTTTTAATTATTATTATTATTATTGTTATTATTATTATTATTATCATTTCTAATTTCTTTAATAGTTGTCTGCTATGTCAAGCATGATACGAAAAATAAACATTTTTACTTTGCACATTCATCTTTGCAATGTTAAAGGAGAACTCCATTGATTGGTCGCAATTTCAGCAGAATTTAAACATTAAGATATTCAAAGTGATTCAAAGTGGTTTGATGTGAAATGTGTCATGCTAGAAAAACTTACCGAGTCACAGTTGTTAACAGTGGTGGTGATAGGACGTCTGAGTCATTCAATGCCTGTAAAAACTATCTCACAAAAAGCTACAACATAGTGTTTATGAATACACTGCCTGATGCCTGAGACAGTGTTTTACGGTAGGTTTGAGGTAAGGTTTTGCCCTGAAAATGTTTTAATCTATTCATGGTGGAGGGGTACATGCAGGGTGTTGTATGGCAAAATAATCCCCAAAGGAAAATGATTTTTTTTTTTTTTAGAATTTCCACTATTTTATCATCATCAACATTATAAACTCAGAAGACATCTAGATTCAGTGGTCATTTTGGATTTACATTGTAGATGCGAATCATGACCCCTGGTTCTTATCAAAACCAATCTTGAATCGGTTTCTCTACAGTGTCCAATCACATACTAAACCACTCTGAATGATTAAATTATGCAGACATTTTTGAAAGATCCATGGAATTTCCCTTTGACAAAATAGAAATAAAATAAAACCATGATAGGAACTTACTGTAAAGCAGCATATAATACAAGTCCTGAAATGTTTACTTGGAAATCCACAGGTCACAAACTGGTGATGTTCATTCGATGCCAAAAACATAAACTGAGAGATTTGCTTGACTTCCAGTAAACCTCTGTAAACAGTGGCAGAACTGATTGCCTTGCAAAAAGTCAGATGAGCTTGTCCTGAAATGTCTGAAGTTCTCAAGGAAGAAGTTTCCAGTCCAGTTGGCTACCTCACCCACAGTGACCTCATCCGATACCCAGCCACTAAACCAAAGGCAAAACTCAGTTCTTGCTAAATTGTACAAGTAACCGTCTCTGACTATGACTGAATGGCTGCACGTACTCCTGTAATCCTCCAAATCCCCCACCACCCGGGGAGTTACCATGGGTAACTGGTGCTCTGGACAAAGCAATGTGATCAGTGGCCCAGTGTCTCCATAGCTACCTCAAAGCTTTTCCAATGGCAGTGTGTGGGAAAAGGCTAACGTGATTGAAGCGGCTGCCCAGTTAAAGCAGCCTTAAATAAGCATTAATCTGTTTATGGGGCAAACACGTGTGACTGTTTGGGAATGAAGCCTTTTTAGCCTGGAGAAGCTCAGCGTTAGTGGTTCTCGTATGTAAACTTTTAAATGTAGCAGGGGTTTACATGATTCAGATAATTACACCCCATTGTTTGACAGAGCTGTTTCGCGAGCTTATCGAGCCAGACACATTCAACAGCTGATTGTTGGCCTTAGACAAAGCTGTCCTTCGAGTGGTGAAAGGAGTAATCACAGGCGTTGGACTCCTCTGGGCCAGCTGCTGTGTCTGATACACTGACAGCCATTTTGTTACACTGCTGCTTTAACTCAGTATTTGCATATATTAGCACCATGCTAATAGCACTGCCTGTGGCCTGAAGGTGGTGGAGCATGAGTTAATAAAGTGAGACACGAGTCATATGTTTACATGCTTTCACCTGAGGCACGTATAGCTTAGCTGCCTCATGTATTATGTGACGGTACGCTAATGGTGTGCTAGGTTCAGAGCTAGCATAATTTCTATGGAATGCTTCAGGAAGACATGCAGGAGTGTCAGTAGGTGCTTCACAGTGCTTCATTCTCTGGTAACTGGATATATGGATAACTGCTGACCACTGGAATCAAAATATGTTGTGATTTATTCAGGCTGTAGATGAAGTCATGCTAGCTGGCCCCACAAATCTGAAACACAGTGTGCTGGAGATGCTAGGTGGGTGATTCCATAATTGGGGTGCCATCTGTGTCCCGCTAATATTACATTTACAAATATGTATGTAAAGTAAAGGTTAAAACATTTTCAATAAAGGTCCTTCAAAAATGTCCATGTTCCAGATAACTAAAACATATACAAAACCTATAAACAGAACTTCTACAGTATTTTTATCTGCCCCAACCCACTATAGTTGCACTTCACCTTAAATAATCATTCAAATGTTAAAATGTTTTTTATACATTCATATGTGAATCTATTTAACATCTCATGCTTGGCACATTCTTTTTCTAAAGTCATACATTATAGATCATAAAAAGCAGACATTTTATTTGTGTCCCAGATTGACTCAATAACGTTACCTGAACACATTCACCCTGGAATATCTGGAATATTCCACAGGCCATATATTCAACATGTAGTTTGAATATATTTGATTTTGAATGTCCTGAAGATCATAGGAAGAAGAAAAATAAGTTCTCTCATTCTGTTTCGTTATTTTCAGAGATATTGTGATATTGACTACTGAGGTTACCTTGAAAACACAACATGGTTACCCAAATTATGTATAAAATACATATACATTTTAGTAAATCATTAGAATGTCCTTATTTACTCATACTATTAGCATAGATGCTAGTTAACTACATTTTGTGTATTAGCTAATTTCATGCTTTAAAACTCAAACCTATTATTTTCAACCCTGTTACACATTTAAACAACTGCCAGCAAAGACACTTTCTAAAAAATGAGTGATGGTTTAACACATTTGGAGTAGTTAAAGGCATGTTTTCTTGGATTCAGCATTAAAAAAAAGATGTGTTTAATATTTTTGAGTCGCAAGGGCTAAATGGCACCCCAATTGTGGGATCACCCAGCTAAGGTCATATCAGTAATGTCTTACCATGACATACAGAACAGTAACACTACTGTGCGAGCAACGCTGTGTCCTAATAACCACTCTTTAAAAATAAAGGTGCCGAAAAAGGTTCTTCAGAGTGATACCACAGAAAACCATGCTTCGTTCCCTGAGAAACCTTTCAGTGCATGCTTCTTAGAGATGCATTCAGATACTCAACCTCTGCTGAAATAGGTTAACAACACTGGAAAGATATTTTTGCTCTTTGGATCTGCCACCCATTCCTACCCGTCAACCAGAGAGGATATAACACAAAGCATGTGTCTAGAATCAACAGTGCCAGTTGGAGTTTGCCAGCATGACCGAGGATTGTCGTGACTTCACTTTCTGGGCTGTTTATTAAGGTTATTGGCTTATTTTGTTATTTAGATATAAATGACAACAGTTTGGCATTATGCCAATGTTGCTTCGCTGGATATCAAAATTTGGCATAGCCTTAGTAGAGCTCACAGAGTGCAGTCATTTTTCATATCTGAAACAACACTTTCACAACATGTTTATAACAGTGAATACTGTGGCTGTCAGCTAATTTATCTCAGGGCAGTTTGCTTGCTTTCAGGAACCTAGCTAAAACATATAATCAAGAGAGGGCTACAATACTGCTTTCCTCCAGGAAGACCATTTTTTTGTTCTACTTGGCCAATTATGAAGACAATTACGCTTCACTTATTCAGAGACACTTTTCATCTAATTATGCTGTCCAAGTACTCTCCAAATACATGTACATTATAAATTCATTATGTAGAGTCAGCCATTCAAACAGCTGAACAATTTACACATGCACTGTAAAAATGAGAAGACTGCTCAATGTAAAATTGTATAGTAACTGATTACATGGCTTTTCTTGACTGAACTTGAGGAGACCAGAGCTCAAACTCAAACTTCTTAGATGAGTCAAAAAGTCTCCCAGCTACTGTTTCTAGGTCTGCATCTCAGTTAGATAAATAAGACTGAATTTGTGTGTTTTTTTAACACTCAGTTTCCCCACTCGCTGACAGTCCTTCTATCACATGGTCCCATCTGACATATTTTCCTCCTGGGCTCCTGGATATGGACAACTGTGGCATTGCTGGGATTCGAACTCACAATCTCCTAATATTGGGATGAATTATTAGACAGTTACACTGCATAACAATAAGCTATGCTTTAAGGTTAAAACAACAGTGTATTAAACATTTGTCAACACAAAATCTGAGTTGCTTCATGTGTTCCTGAGTGCTGCAGTGGACTAAGTCATCACCCCAAACAGGAGGTTGTGAGTTTGAGCCCCAGCAATGCCATAGCCACCATCCATAAGTGCATACCCAGGAGGAAGAATGTCTAGCAGCATTGTGTGATGGAAAGAGCCCTGGCTAGTGGGGAAGTTGAGAATAAAAAACAAGCTCATTTTATTGACCTCACTAAAAAAGAACTAAAAAATTAAGAGAACTTTTAACTCAACTAAGAAGTTTGAGATGTGTGAACTCTGGTGTCCTCAAGTTGAGTCAAATCAAGAAAAGCCATGTAATCAGTTACTAAATCATTTTGGGTTAAGCTGAATTCTCATTTTTAACAGTGTGTTGCATTTACATACATGTTCAGGAGGAACACGGCTAGTTCTGTGTCCAGCTTCATCCCCTTTGCATGTGATAACTCCATCTTGGAAAAGCACCTCTAATGTAGATTTTTATTTTAGCATGTTTCTTGCCGTCAAGTCTTTTGGCTGCACAGCATGTTAGCATGTTAGACAAACACTAAGAAGTTCATAAGAATGTTCTTAAATGCAACTCTTTGGAAAAAAAGACAATAAAAAGTTCTCAAATGTTCTCTTAAGATAGTCTTAGTGTGAGGCTGTCGTAAGGTTAAAAAACATTTAAGAACATAATATGTTTAAGAATAAAACTTTTTCTTTGAATTATTCTTAAAAAAGCAGTTTTGATTTGATAAATTTGATAATTCTTAAAAAGTTTGATTTTTTTTTTTCTTAAGAATGAAGTTGAGAAAAAACCCATTTAAAAAGATTTTCTTTCTCAGGACACTTTTGTGAATCCGGCCCCAGGTTGCTAACTGGATTCCTCCACATTTTCTTACTCAAACAGACAGAGATTTTGTGTCGTTATAAGATGACTGACAGGAGGTCAGTGCCAAAACAATTTTTATGTCATGTTCTACAACTTTTCCAGGTTATTTGAACTACAAGAAATAGCAAATCGCGTAATGCACCTTTGAAAGAACCTTTTTTTGTAAATGTGTGTTAAAAACCTTCTTCTACACCAAATCAGATATGCTAAACCCTCCATCCAAGCCAAGAACCATTTAGAAACCTTTATTTTGAAAAGTGTACATTAGCATATATAATAGAATTTTTGTGGTATCAAGGTTCAGTGTGGTCCTTAACACCTCCCTCAGTCAAATGCAGAGCAACGCCGCAGGCTAATTTATAATAGGATCTGACCAATTTAGGTCAGCCTTGTAAATGGCAAATCTTCAGTCCCATTGGGCATCAGAGGGAAGTAGAGCCAAAGGACTGGCATTTATCTCTGAGCGGGTGCCGCTCGGTCGTCATGCCAAGCGTTGGATTAGGAATTAAAGTGAGACCCGTGCTGCACAGAGATAGGGCTGAATAGTTAAAATAGTCTCAGTGAAAGAAATCAGCGATGTATGCACTTCTGTACCGATCCTCATTGTGCACGCTGGTGCATAAGACAGGAAAGAAGCTCACTTCTGCACTGTGCACAATACGAAGGTCTATGTGATGAGGGTGGGATAAATATTTGGTCTATGGCAGTGCTTCTCAAGCCTGGTCCTAGAGGCCCACTGGCCTGTACATTTCAGTGCTTTTCCTGCTTTAACACAGCCACTTTAACTCAATAATGGGCTGTTAATGGGCTGATCAGTTGGATCAGGTGTGCTGGGAGCAGGGAAAACACTAAAAAGTGCAGGGCAGTGGGCCTCCAGAACCAGGGTTGAGAAGCATTGGTCTAGGTGACCAAACCAAAACATTTACATATTTCCACCCTTTAGGCTTAGCTCCACCCATTCACAATTCATAAGGTGTGTTTCAGCCTGGACTGCTTTTTGAATGAGTCTTAAAGGCACAGTGACAAAAAAACAGCCAGTTTAATTCTAGGGAGTAAAGGAAGGTGAGAAAATGGATGTGGAAAAATAAATTTTTGCTGTTTTTTCTACATAAATGCACACAAACATTACAAGCGGACTTCAGGGGGAAAAAATAAAACA